GAGTAGAGGGCAATGTGGGAAGCAGTCTTAAAATACCAAGCATACTATGAAGTAGGGAAGGCTACAGTGTAGTTGCCACACTTTCCTGGCAGTGCTGCATAAATAGATAAGCATCTGCCTGCCGTCCAGAAATGAGAACTGACTAGAAAGTGACAACATGAGATCCTAAAAGTCAATCAAACTTAACCTTCTGTAGACTGTTTCTGGGAGCAGCTTTGGTTTGAGTCTTTTCTCCAGGGAGGTGATGGTTCTGTCTATCTGAATGGTGCGCCCCCCCCCCCCAGGGAAGGGACAGAGCAGCTGCATTTCCCTTTGCCTTTCAGCTGGCTGTGACATTTTTTTTAAAGATTTATTTATTTATTACATATACAGTGTTCTGCCTACATGTCATAAGAGGGCATCAGATTGAATTGTAGATGGTTGTGAGCCACCATGTGGTTGCTGGGAATTGAACTCAGGACCTCTGGAAGATCAGTCAGTGCTCTTAACCTCTGAGCCACCTCTCCAGCCCATGGCTGTGACATTTTTAACATCTGCCCTTGTGTGATCTTGCAGCATCAGTTTCTTCTCCTCAAGCCTTTCCTGACCAGCCTCAAAGTCGTCCTGAGCCTAAAGTCATTGTCAAGGCCTGGGCGAGAGTCAAGCCAGCCTGGACTCTATCCTTGCCTCACAGCTGGTACCTCTGTGACATTGGGAGATTTTCTATCTCCTGAACTCAGTCTTCCTGTCTGTAGAAGGAGAGTGAGAGTGCCCATATTTGAGGGTTGCCTGAGGCCTTAAGGAAATGAGGTAGAAAGATCTTGGTGTACTTCCAAACCATGTGAGTTCTCTAGAGCAGAGACCATCTCCCCAGCTCGCCCAGGCTTCCACCTTTTGGTAGGAATGAGTTGTATGCTTTTATAGTTTTACAGTTTGCTGCTGCTTATTTGAGGGGGAATGCTAAGTAAGATTGAGTTTTCACTGATGTTGCCAGATATGATTAACTTGGAAAAATAAATTCATCGCACTGAACTTCCTGCTGGTTGAGACTAGCTTTTAGGATCAAGTTTCAATTTGACTCAAAAGAATGAATGCTTGGTGTAAGTTGCTATATTGTTAATCACATAGATACCTTGCCTGGAAGGGTGCAGTGGGTGCTGGGTCCAGCTTCTGTTATGTATCTCATGAAAACCATCCCTGTCCTGGCTGTCCCTCCCTGCAATGCAGCAGGTGCACAGGTGGCCAGCATACAGATGGTGCACCTCGTTACCACGCCCGTCTTCTTCACCAGCTCCGCTCAGGCCCATGGTAAATGTCCCTTTGGCACACACAGTTTTGGGCTTCTGTGAACAGAAGGAGAGCGAATGAAGCATCTGTAAAATGTATATTTCATATTTAGGTGTATGAAATATATATACAGCTGCGTCTGGGTGTGAGTGTTCACCTTCCTACAAAGAGAATAAATTTGATCTTTCAGCTTGACTGGGAGGCATTCAGAAGGTTCTGGGGACCATGGGGTGAAGCTTAGCTTGTCAGGAAAGTGATTAAAACAAAATTCTTCCATTTAGTTAAATATATTTTGGAAGTTGGCTGTTCAGCACAATGCTTCCACTGTGTCCACCTCCCTGCCCACCACTGCCATCACCTAAAACTTTTCACAGACAGAGTGGTCCCGCCTAGTTTTCTCCAAGGCATCTGTTTCCTGGCTGCTGGGGATTGTGAAGTTTCCATGCAGGGTGTGCACCCTTCCAGCATGTTTTTCTCCCAAGTTTTTTTTTTTTTTTTTGTCCTGTGAGCTCTGCTTGTAAAATTCCCCAAACTGTCGCTGGCATTGGGAAGTGTTAAAATCAGATCAGAGCCTCTAGCTCATCCTTTCTTCATGGTCTTTTGTCTCCAGGATCAGTGGGGTGTTACAGACGGAGACACACCAAGAGCCAGTAGAGGGCTGGAAGCATGTTTTTCTCAACTGCCCGTGGTCGGCTAGCTGCAGGTTGGCTTCATTAACCAGTAGCCAGCTTGTGTCTGTGAGGGTGGGAGAGGCAGTGCTGCCTGCTCCTAAGCCTCGGGGCTCTGACCCACTCTCATTACAGGAGCGTTTACCTGTCTAGGGCTGAGGTGGCTCTGCCGAACTCTGCCCCATTCTGTCTTCAGTTTAAATTTAGACTGTCCTCCCCACAACCAAAATTACCTCATGCATTCTCAGGAAAGTATTTCTGGAATTGGGGGTAAAACATGTTTTTCCTAAATGTATTGTTTTCTGTCATTAACTTTTTCTTATGTTCACTACAACTGACCTCATCATTTTAACTGTGTAAGCCTGATTTTTATCATTTTTCTACACATTTCACTTGTATATACACTCACATTATATATATGTGTAATTTTTTTTTGGTTGGGAAGAAAAGATGCCTCATTTTAAAACCTAAAGGGGGGAATAAGAAAAGCCCTTTGTAATATATTGCCATATTATCACTAAATCCCCTGACAGTTGTGACACAGAAGCAAGTCACCTGTCACTTAAGCTTGAGGTCTCTTTAATTTTCTCCTGGAATTCGCACCAGGCTGTCTTTAATTTGAGGCCTTTATTGGAATTCTGAAACCTCTCTGCCTCCCTGGCTCTCAGATCTATTCTGAGAGCTGTTACAGAATGTATACAATAACCAACAGAGGGATTCAGAGAGGGCTGCAGCTCTGTTTATTTAACACTCTAGAGGGATTTTTGTGCTTATTCGGTCCTGGCTGCCCGGCTTTCAATATCGCTTTGACAACCATTCTGCCCTTCTCATTAATTTTAAACAGTTAAAACACAGGAAAAAGAGGGAAAAGTTTTCATTATTAAAGTGCTTTACTTTTTAATAACAGAGGATTCTGTCCGCCAGGGGAAAGGGCATCCTCACTAATTTCACATTCATATTAAAAAAAAAATGCAGGCAAGGTGACAGTTGTGCTGCTGAGGTGGCTTAATGAAAGCAGGGCAGCGGAAAGTTTGCGTTTCACATCAGTGAAGAGGTGAAAAAACCCTCGCTAATGACAACAGCAAATGTCCACTTTGGTAGTGCGGCTTCTCAGTGGCGCTTCTGCTGACATTGTAGTGGATAAAACCCTTAGGGGTACCGTGTACTGTGAAATCAGCTAGACTGTCATCAGCCAAACAGGTAGCAGGATGATATGACTACACCAAAAAACATTTTCATGTTGTTAAGTCTCTATTAATGCAGAGAAGAGTGTCTATCCAAAAAGAGCTTTTCTCTCCTCTCCCTTTTGTTCTTCCTCTTCCAGTCGTAAAAGTAAAGGAGGGAGACATGAACCAGACACAGTGTTCACACCTGTCCTCTGAGGGTGGAGAGGGGCCTGGGTTCTACACAGGAGGGTGGAGTCTGGGGCTCAGTAGCCCCTTTACATGAGTAGCTGCACTTGGGTGACCTGCCTCCCTAGGCTACAGAGTCTCCTCGTTCTGTGTTTGTTGTAAGATAAAGGAAATAAAAATCACTACTTTCTAGAAGGAATTTTTAAAAGACATCTTTTCTCTGGGACTTTTAAAAGATGAAAATGGTCTTATATATTATTAATAGTTTTCAGTGGCTACAGTAGTGTTCCTGGCTGCAGGGACTCAGGCAGCCTTTGAATGTGGCTTACTGAAAAGCTGCCTTCTTAATAGGCCTCAGAACTCAGCTTGGTGGTGACAGGCTTCTGGAGCAAACCTGAAACACTGGCAACCAACTTCCAGGAAAGGGAAGCAAGCTCAAGACTCAGGGATGGACATAAAGCCTTGTAAGGCTGAATTTTAAAAAATGCCTTTTCCACTGAGAGCAGGGATAAGGGAGAAAAGTCTAAGGGGAAAAGAGTTATTTAAAAACAGCGTATGTTCACTGTTTAAAATGCCAGAATTAGGCTTGGAAAACTCCAGAGTACCTCTAAAGGTCTTTCACTTTGAACATGAGTGATAACAGGTCATGAAGGAAAGTAGGCAAACAAATAAATAGACTTGGTCTGCTCCCTCTTCATGTTGTCCTCATCTTTGCTTGACTTTAACATCTTTATAGCTCCCTTCTTTCCCTAGTAATATTGAAAGGATTACCCTCGTTGGCCCCTGGGTGGTTACCGTGTGATTTTACTGTTATTAAATCTATTATAAACTGCTTCATTATTCCTGACTTCAACTTTGTCTCTCCTTTAATCCTTCCGTCACCCTCCCAGAAGTCCCATGCCACTGACTCCCAGGAAATCCGAGAGCGAGCAACAGTATTGCAGACAGTATTTGAAGATTACGTGCACTCCAGTGAGAGGATGGTCTCTTGGGCAAAAAAAGGTCAGTGGAATTCTCAAGAGATTGGGGGTGGGGTAGCCCCACGAGGCGCTGGCTTCACCCCTCACCACACACATGGTTGAGAGGACGTCCAGGGACCTCTGTGTACCAATCAAAGCCTTCATTCTGCAGTAATTCTGCAGGGTTTGGAATCGGGCTCGGAAGGATTTAAAGTGATATTAAATGCTAATTTCATACATCTCCATCTTTTGCACAAATGAGGCTTTATCTTGGCTTATGTCAGGACTAGAGCTCTGACCCAACAGCTTGGATCTTGGGGATCTGTTTTTCTCTGTCTTTGAACACCAGGCAGCAGAGATGTTGGCAGAAATAGTTGTAGGGATGGAAATTGATCATCAGGGCTGGAAGCAGTAGATCTAAGGAGTTCCTGTGTGAAGGTACAAATGAAAATGAGGATGGTTGTGAGGACAGGCTGTAGACCATGAACCTGGGTGCTTTCACAGAAGTGATGTTGATGTAGTTCTTCAGACCCTTTGTAGAATAAATTAGCTCTTGGGATGCTCACGTTAAAGGTGGAATTGACAGTTCACCTTGAGCAGTGGGAGTGGTTGTAACCGCCTACTCTTTTTCCTAGTGGAATGTTCCTGTTGCTCATTTGTGCTAATAAGACCCAAGTTGGAGCCAGGCAGTGGAGGTACATACTTTTAATCCCAGCACCAGGAAGCAGAGACAGACAGATCTCTGTGAGTTCAAGGCCAGCCTGGACTGTTATACAGAGAAACTCTGCCTCAAAATCAAATAAACAAAAAGACCCATGTTGGAGGAGTACATAGTACTTTCTGGGAGTTCCTTGAGATTTTTTAGAAAAAATGAATCTTTTTTTAAAAACAGGAAGTCCTTCTATAGAGCAGGTTGGCCTCAAACTCATAAGCAGTCTCCTGCCAGCTGAGTGCCGGGATTGAAGGTGAGGCAGGGTTGTGCTACAACCAGGTGTTAAGCTTGGGATCCTTCTGCTGTTTGTAGTCTCCCAAGTGCTGGGACCACAAGCATATACCACTACTCCCAGCTAGAAGTATCTCTTAAAAAAATAATGTACTTGGCAGTGTCACTAGAATTTGGCACTCTTCCGGATGCTTCAGTGCATGACGAGGTGGGTGGAAAGTATCCTCTGCTTTGTAAACTAATGTCTTAAAAGGAGCAGCTGTGAGATAAGGAACACAGTAAATGAGTGTTTTGGATAGTGGTACGGACTGCAGAAAGGACAGCAGGAGGAGGCAGGTGTGATGAGTGGGATGTAGTTAGTAAGAGGTCAGAGTAAGCCCCACCGGGAGGGTGATACTTCAGCAAAGCCAAGTGGGATAAGTGTCCATATTCTGAAGGAAGGGAGCTGGTATAGGCATGAGGGTGGTTAGCGAGGGCAGAACCCTGTAGGACTGGAGGCTGCTCTGAGGTCTGTAGAGTTATCCTGAGTGGGTTTGAACTAAGGTGTAGTGGTTCAGTGGGCCAAAGGGGTTTGGCTGTTTGGCTAATTTTTTGGTTTGGTTTTGGTTTTGTTTAGGGAGAGGGGTAGTTGAGACTGGGTTTCTTTGTCTGGCTATCCTGGAACTCACTCTCCACCTGCCACTGCCTCCCGCGTGCTGGAATTAAAGGCGTGCACCATCATGCCTAGTTTGACCATAGGTTTTAAAAGATCGCCTGACTGCTATGTGAGAATTGACCCTGGGGTAAGAGTGACAGCTGGAGAGTGGACTCCAGTGAGTAAGCAGTAGATGAGGAAAATAGCAGCAGGACTGGAGATGCAGCTCAGTAGTTGAGCACTTGCACAAGGCTCCCAAGCTCTGTCCCCAGCACTAACAGCAGTATCAAAAAAACAAACATGTTTTCAGATAGCTATTATTAACCCTCAGCACAGGATTTGGTTGTCAAAACACTTCAAACAGAGCTACATGTAATGGAAGTCTATCATTGCCAGCCATATAAAACTCGTATATGTCCTTCTAGTCATTTCTCAAATAATAACCTTGTCTTCAGCATTTTCTGAAAGTGAATTCAGCAATCCTCCATAGTTCCCAAGAACCTCCCTGTAGAGGAGCCAAAGATAGTCACTGTGATTGTGACCATTGGAGGAAGGCAGCTGACGCAGCTGAATTTGAGTTGATACTGACTTTGCTATGAACAGAAAGACGTCTGCCCACACCATCCACTTTGTGTCAGTGGTATTCCCATACCTTGGCACGACTGCCCTATGTAGGTACCTGGACAGTCCCAACTGCAACAAGCAGTTGGTCAGAGATTGTGATTGAGGTATTGTCTGTCATCAACAGTCTGTTGAAGCTATAGGAGCAGAGCTGCTTCCCATGTTTTGGTGATATTTCCATACGAGAAGAAAATGTGTAGATTATTTCTCTGGTTTGCCAACTGATTTTCACTCCAGGTTTGTAAGGGCTGGAACCACCTGCCTCACCCCTTAGACCTTAGTCACCTACCCAGGGACACAAAAACCTTCACTCCTGTTACTTAGGTTTGTGACTGGGAGGTTTGGGAGAATGTGTCTGCATCTGCTGCTCTAAAGGAATTGACCCATGACGCATGAAAAGCCATTGTACCCTTTAAATTGACACTACGTTTTGCATATCAGTTTACATATACAAATTCCTCAACCAGCTTGCTTTCCTTTTGTGACATTGCAGAACCTGCCTCGTGAATAATTAACAATGCAGCTGGCCTTGCCTTTGTGGTAAAAAAAACCAGGTAGAAACTGGGCCAAGTATGCATTTGTTGCCTTTTGCATTTTTTTATCCCATCGTCATTAGTAGTCAGCTAATTGTCGCCAGTCTCTACAACAGTCACTTCTTTTCCTCCTCTGTGTGTCACTTAGCTAGGGACTCAGGCTGCAGAAGCAGTTGTAATGTATTCTCAGTCTAGACTCTGAAGGAAGTTTTGGAGAGCAGAGTGTTCTGCCTACACATGTCCCTGTTCCTGTTGCCTGTCATCCTCATCTTCTGGCCTCGCTGCAGAGTAGGGATTATGTGTGGCCCTTATACCTGTGCTTGGGGGGGATACTTATTAGTGGTAATACTTTTACCTCCTCACTTCAGTGGGATGGCATTGGCCGGGCATGTTGCCAAGTGATGTGTCTTTTAAGAGAACCTCATCAAGGCATTTCTTTTCTCACATCCTTTGGCTAATGTGCCTATTGGTCTAGGTCTGTATACCTTTGTGGTGGACCAGATGGGACTTAAGATGGGAGGCAAGAGGAGTGTCTCCAGCCTGCAGTATTGTTCCTCTGCCTTCTTACCCTAGGAGCCATCTGTACGACATTCCCATTCCTGATCCATATGCCCAGGGTGTCCAAGTGCATTATTTTCGACAGATTCCCTCTAATTCATACACCTTAAATAACTCCCTGGAAATACGAGCCGGCAACTAAAATGCTCAACTTTCATTGCCTGTAGCTCCATCCGTCACTCCAAATAAACGTCTCCTAGTTCTCCACTTTCTGCTGTGCTGGTCCCACAGCCCTATTCCTTCTGTACATTCTAGACACTGCCAGCATGAACCACTTCCTGCCCCTGCTGTCTCAGAGTTAGCCAAACATGGAAGTCCATGAAAGTGTTCAGGGACAGCCAGCTGTCTCTGTCACCAGTGGCACTAGAACCTGGAGAACACAAAGGCTTAATTAAAATATGCAGTGTGAAATGCTGCCTGGGCTGATGTCTGGGCGGAAGCATTTCCTGCCATTGCTCAGCAACTTGTTATCCCTGTAAAGCCTCTAGATGGGCACCTGCATCTCTTGGGACAGTTTTCTATGTTCTTGCTTCCTGGAAGTGTGTGCTATGGAGGAGGAGGAGGGTTGTGAGCCAGACAAAGACCCAGGGCTCAGCTGCTTATGTGAAAGAGTAGCAGGAAGTGAAATATGGGCTGACTTTGGGGTGACCCAGGCTCTTGGATTGGCTTGGCTTGGTGGGATGTTTTAGAGGTAAATATTGGGATTGTTGGAAGAAAGGGAAGTAGAGGAGTTGGGTCTTGGTGGTCACTGCAGTGCCAGCAAGTTGCTCTCTGAGAATGTGAGTAGCTGTGGGTGGGGCCAGTGTGGGAACCCTCCAGATATTGCAGACCATTTGAAGTGTTAACGATGCTCTTTGAAAAAGCTGGTCCCTGGTTATTGGAAGGGAAGTGAGCACAGATTTAAGAGAGAGGTGCAGAGGAGTTGCTGTGCTTATTATTTCTCATCGATTGGGAAAAGGAGTTCACTTTGCTCAGTAAATAGAGCTTTGATGGATTCCCAGGATCCTTCCAGGAGATGATCTGCTAAAATGACACTTTTTATTACTGTTCATAAACGGCAATCTCCAGGTGCTGCTGGGATATTACACTTAAGCTGTGGGCAAACTTGCCAGTCCAGTGGCTCAGCCACCCAGGTGAGGGAGGCTGGTGCTTGATGGTACAGGACTGGTTCCAACCGTCCTGTAGAGGAGCTGGGTGTGAAAGTAAAACAGTAGTGATGGGCAGAGTACACTGCAGGTCATCCCTCTGCTGGAGAGAGGGGAGGCAGGATGCTCACTTTCTCTTACTGTGAGATACTCAAGGAGCCAGATACAGTAAAGTCTGTCCTCACGTGGGATGCCTGGCTAAGGCACATGAGCCCCACCAAAGATCTAGCACCTAGGAATGGAGCCCAGATCTTCTCTAGCCTGAGCTGGGATCTAGAACAAGGGACCCATTCCTCCTGATTTTGAAGTGGGGCTGCAGCTTTGCAGCTGAGCTTCCCAGACTGGCGGAAGTACCCAGGACAACTGTTACCTACACTATTTCAGTTTTTATGATGCCCTTTCTCCTTGGCATGTTTGTGTGCACTAACTATTCAGAAATTACTGATTTTTCCCTAATGTAAGTATCTAAGAATTTTCATAAGAAAATGTTGATCACTTAGTTTGTACATTCATTCTACTATATTTAACAAACATATCAGGTACATGCTACATGCCAGGCACTGTGATAGGCCTTGACACTGTGTGTGACAAAAGAGAAAATGGGCCCTGCCCTGTTGGACTATTGCAAACTCTTCAGTAAAGGCAAGTTTAATAGGTTTTTTTATTTTAATTTTTAAATTTAAATTAGAAACAAGGTTGCTTCACATATCAATTCCGGGTCCCTCTCCCTTTCCCTCCCCTCCTTCTATGCCCTCCCACCATTTAATAGGATTTGAGTGATAATTTTGGCTATAATTTTTTGCTTAGGGATTTTTTAAACTTTTATTGTTTTAATTATGTGTATGCATGTATTGTATCTGTGCACGGTATGCATAAGTGAGTGCAGTTGCCTAGGGAGGTATCAGATCCCTTCAGAGCTAGAGTTACAGGCTGCTAAGAGCTGTCCAATCTGGGTGCTGGGACCCAAACCAGTGAGCATCTCCCCAGCCCTTTAGAGATTTTTAAGAACATAACACAGGTGTGGCTTCAGGTTGCCTGTGTGGATGTCCTGGTTCTGTTCTCTTTCTTGGCAAGATAGAGTAGGGTAACATAGGGGTTAGATAGCTCTGAAGCTTCAGAACCCCATCCCTACTTTCTCCTCCCCCTTTGTTCTAGCTCTGCAGTCCTTCATCCGCGCCTATGCGACCTACCCCAGGGAGTTGAAGCCCATTTTCCATGTCAGATCCCTACACCTTGGGCATGTGGCTAAGAGTTTTGGACTAAGAGATGCTCCTAGAAACCTCAGTGTCTCCACTGTGAAGAAGAAGGCAAGCTTGAAAAGGTAAGATGGGAGTTAACTATGTGCAGCTCTGTTTACATTAGCAGGTGAGGTCATCTGGAAGGCTGATGCCAGCTCTTCTGTCGTGTGGAAAGGGGTCACTTGAACAAGGGGAAAAATCATCCCTAATCTTGAAAAAAATTCAGTTAGACACAAATGCAATGGGGATTATTGAGCAGAAAGATATGTCTGTTGAGTTGTACTCATGTCCCAGTAGAGTAACTTAGGAGGCTTCTGGTGTGTTCCATATCATTAGCTCTGGTAACAACAGTTTCTGTCCTTGAAAGCTATGGGATGGGATGGGATGGGCCTGGGGACTTAGAAGAGCAGCCTCTACCCTACCTGTGCTGATGCACCTCAGGTGCCAAGTCTTATAGATGCAAAAGCCAGACACCTGGTCTTTCCTCAAAAGCATAATTGCTTTGTCCAAAGAACCTAGGTGGAAGGAATGTCAGGGTGAGCAGAACTGACTTCAGGTCAGTTGTCGCTGGAGTCAGGGACTAGACTTGTCTCCAAGTCTAGCCCCACAGTGCTGAGCTGACTTAACTAAGATTGCTTTCAGATTGTCCCTGTTGTCCCCTTTCCTCCTTGAGGAATGGTGTTCTTTCAGCAGCAAGCCCAGCCTCACACCATAGCCACAGCACTGGAGACCCTGAGAGTGCTCTGTAGGGGGTCTTGAGATAGGGGGCACCTCTGTTGGATGACCTGTGTGGGGAAAACACAGTGAATAAGTAAATGTTGGAGAATAGAAACTTTTCTTCCCTGGCCCGGGCTTTGGTGTAGAGAATGCTCTGGGTACTTACTGCATTGTCTTAGGTACAAATGCTATCATATTTCTGCCCTGACTTAGGCAGCCTCATGCTTTGCCGGGAAAAGTCTGTCCCAATCTTTTCACCAGAAAGCACTCATTTCCTCACGGCTTGGTCAGCACCTGGCTTCAGAGGGAGGCTACCCAGTGTAGGATAGTGGTCTTAGAGTTGAAGGACTTAGACTTCACTTCCAGCTCTGTTCTCATGGGGTCTTGGGAAGTAAATGACTCAGTGGCAGCGTTGACCTTACCTTGAGAAGCCACAGGGGAGAGGGTGACTGCCCCCTCATGTCTCAGCTGACCCTAGCTGGCAGATGGGCACCAAGACCACTACACCCTGTGAGCAGCTGATTGAGTAGAGCTTTATTCGGGGAAGAATGGACTGATTAGCTGCTAAAGAGCATGTAAGATGGTATGGGGCAGCCTTTGATGTCTGGCTGGCGCAGCAGGGGGCCAGGCAGTGAGTGACAGCAGTGTGTCACAGGATTACTCTGAGTGGCTAGGCTGCTCTCTGTTCTTACCGTGTCACCACTCTGTAACAGCCCTTTCTTTTGAAGGCCTTTCTCACCATGCACCCCGCCCCTGACTTTCCAACACAGACGGGCACCGAAGAGACAGTAGGTACCTTTTTGTATTTGGGAAAGTGTTGTCACTCCTGGAAGAGGAATGACTTTGCAGCTAATCTGCACATGAACCGTGTAATTGTGGCCAGGGTGAGTGGCAGATAGAACCTGACAGATTGCCCACACTTCTCCGTCAGGACTCAAGCAAATGCCAGTTGCTGCCTTTTGAGGACTGGAAAGAAAAGTCCATTAAACCCCACAAGTTGCAAAGAATTGGGCCTGCTATGGCCATGATTATTGTTCTGAGATGAAGGTCTTCTGAAATCTGCCTGTCAAGAAAAAGTGGGCTCTTTCTGTCACGTGCAGATGAGTGCAGTGTGGCACTAAGTCCTCAAGTGCTCTGCTTCCCAGCTTCTGTGTTCACTGCCAGAAAGAATAATTACATGGTATGCACAAACCCATGATGTCTGCTAGCAAAGTCCAGCCGGCTGTGAATCCATCATCCATCCTCAAACAGGAAACGCAGGTGCCGGTCAAGTGAGAGCAAGGCAGGGCAGGGGACTAAATCCCATGCAATGTCAAAGGGATTTTGTCTTTCATGTACATGAACTCTTTCCCTCTTCACACACATCTACTTTTCAGAACAAGAAAATAAGTAACATCTCCAATGAGATCTCAATATTCAGGTCTCTGTCAGCTTCTCCGCCCTCAGTTCTGAAAGGGAACAGTAAACATCTCTCTACACATGGAAATACAGTCATACTCACAAAACCATTCCTGGCACCTACACACAAACCTGTCAAAACAGCCCCCACCCCAAACATCTACATAGACATGTACACAGGAGCTCTTGGTAAAATATTGAATGGCTCCTTAGCAACATTCATCACAAAAACAGCAGTTCCCGGGAAGCAAAAGTGGTAACATAGTCCTCTAAAATTGCCATCTTCCCTGGAGACATGGAGACTGGGACCTGTCTGCTGTGCAAGGACAGTTGGACTATTGGCTAGGGTGTCTGTCTAGGCACACGGGAGTGAGGTGAGTCCAGGGACATGCTTGTTGGGGCTGGTGTCACTGACAGTGTGGGAATGTGAATGTGCAGTTTCTAAGTCACCCACCGCAGTGAATTATCCCATACACCCAGCACCGCTTTGCCACAACAGCCCTTCCAGCTTCTTCTGTCCCCTCCAGTGTGGTCATCAGAATCCAATCTCTGTCCCTGCTCTCAGCTCATCGCCTTTACAATTAATAGAGGAATGGCAGTTTCAACATGGTTAGCTGTTACTTACATAATTTTATTTTACTTGTATCAGTTCTCTCAGTCCATCCTAGCCAAGGTGTTACCTAGGAGTTCCCATTTTATCAAATAAGGTGAGCATTCTAAAACCTTTTTGGTCCTCCTGGATATGGCTGTGCTTGGTCAGGGAGAAGAGCTTGCTGAGGGCTGGCTCTACTAGGCCAGCCCAGCACAGCTAAGCATTTCCTTAACTTTTATACTTCTAAGGCCCTGTAAATCTTTCATGTCTCAAGTAAACATCCGGATGGAAATTACACATGGCAGGCAATTCCTTGTAGAGAGACTTGCCCCTACCCAAATTAGCACAAATGTCTCATCATTGGAGCTCACACTGAAGACTTCACAATTTTTGGTGTGTGGCACTATTCCTATTAACAGCTTTCACTGTGCTGGTGTGTCATTGTAAGCGACCAGTAAGTGGTCACCCTATGCAACTGTACGTGAGCTTGAGACATTGGCTCTGTTTGTTTTCCACTAGCTGTTTCCCCTGCCCTCCCCTAGCTTATTAAATTTATCAGAGTGTCCCCCTACAGGTTGGCTAAGTCACTTGCGTGCTTGTGTGCCTTTGGGCAAGCAACACTCTCTCTGCACCTCGTTTCGTTTGCCTCCTGAAGGCAGGCGCTTGAGCTTCATAGTATCATGGTGGAGGCAAACCGGATGCTGAGTCTGGAACATGGCTTCAATGTCTGTGTGAAAAACATACATTTGCCATTAGGACAATACCGTGACTATCTAGCCCTTTTGCTGGCCTCCAGTATCAGAGTATTCCTGTGACTGAGGACCAGCGTGTGTGTGGAAGTAGCTACAACCTTCCAGCACTCTGGAACAACCTTGAAAGCAGAATCAGGTCCCCTGAAGATGAGCACTAAGAAGCTGCAGCTGCATCACCCTGGGAAGCAATCCTCATCATTAGTAGCAGCCTGCTGCCAATTTTTACGTGGCATTTACAACCTCCCTAATATCACTTAATTAGCTGAAGGAAAACCTGGAATCCTGCCCATTGTAAAATTTTTCTCAATTTCTTTGAGCCAGTTATTCTGCAAAAAAACAGATTGACCAAATGTGAGATGAGAGGCTGGGCACAGCCACACTTGGAAGCACAAGCTTTTCTCCATGTATGTCTGCTACACCTGAGTTAGTGCTCTCCTGGTCTGTCCTGCAACACACAACCTTGGTCCCTTGGGTCTCTTCTCTTGACTTCCAAAACTCTGTGTTCATGAGGATCAGCTCTTGACTTCTGAGCCCCTGGATAGAACCTTTCCATGCCCCCTGTGCCACCGCTGTGCAGGCAGCCCACTCGTGCCCTTAAACCTTCCCTTTTGTTACATCCTGGTCCTTTGCACCACTTCCCCGATGGTCCCTGGTGGCCTCTCAGCCTCAACTGATATTCTGCTGTCACTTTCGGGACCTGGGCCTGGGCTCTCTCCCTTTCCTCTCAGACAGATGTCCTCACTTGTTCTGACACAATGATGCCGTCATCTATGTGTGTGGTGAATGTCTCTTGAAGCGCCTCAGCAGAAACCACATCAGGTTCATGTTCACCGTATGCCCAACACACTTCTGTCACATGGTAGGTACAGAGGACATCCTTTGGATTTAATGAGGGGAATCATTCTAGAACTCTGAGGGAAGAGAACAGGAATTCTTCTACTGTGAAGGGGGGTGAGCTCAGTTATTATTTAGTGAACTGTGAAGATGACCAACCCTACTTGGAAAAGCAATTTCCTCAGAGAGCTTTGCAGACAGATGGACATAAATGGGAAAACAGAATCTATTCCTAAAGTCTGCTGAGGAGCACTGTGGAAAACCCAGGATCCTAGGTCCCACCCCAAAGACCACAGTTTGTCGTAGATGTGACTACAGACGTAACTTGGGGACTGGAAAGGGTGTCCTTAACAGTGTAACAGGTGGGGCTCTAGTCCGTTTGCCATAGAACTGACAGCAGAACTGCTATGCAAAGGGCCTTTGGCCAGGCAGTAAACTTGGAAGAACAGGCTGGGTGCTCCAGGCAGTAAACTTGGAAGAACAGGCTGGGTGCTCTAGAGCGCTTGTCCTGAGGTCGTCAAGAAGGTGGCTGAGGTACTGGAGAGATGGTTCAGCAGTTAAACACTGTTCTTCTAGAGGACCCAGGTTCAATTCCCAGCACCTACATGGCAGCTCACAACCATCTGTAACTCCATTTCCAAGGGACCTGAAACCCAAGGCAGAGCACTGATGTACATAAAATTTAAAAAAGAAGAAGGTGGCCGAATGAGTGACTGGGCTCTTCTAGACAGAGAACTAACTGCACAGGGCACTGAACCTATCTGTTAGAAGCTCACAGTATGTTCACAGG